GGTCATACAGAATTTTGCTTTTTTTGAAAACAAAAGTACATAATTGAAATAAGCTTTACTTTGTAGATTATAGAGCTTTTCACGCTGCATCTTGTGGTACATTTTATTTTTTTTTACAAAATTAGATTAGGTGATAAAAAGATAAGATCAGAAAAAATGATTTTTTCGCAGCGTCGAAAATTGGTCGCACACAATTTTGCTTTTTTTTTAAAACAAAAAGTACAGAATTAAAATAAGATTTACTTTGTAAATTGTAGTTCTTTTCACGCTGCATCTTCTGGTATATTTTGTTTTTTTAAAACAACGTATTAAGTGATGCAAAAATGAAATGGAAAAAGGCCGTTTTTTTTGTCCGAGGGAGATTGGCTGGAAAGTTGCCATTTAGAAGTTTGAAGTACTCTCTTAGGACTACTAGCCCATAAAAAAATTAGCGTGGGATCTCTAGAAATGGCGTGCACCGGAGGTCATCTTTGGGAGGTGTATCTAAGATGGTAGGCCTTTTTTTGAGATAAGGTATGTAAATCTCGATCCCGTTTGTTCGAGACAAGGTAGTCAGATCTTGCTCAATTTAATATATGTCATAGAGGGAAGCATTCTGAGAATTTTGGCGCAAGCCATTTCGAAAAATATTGATCTGTCGATTTTTTATGAGCATTTTACTAAAAGCCCTAAAAACGACGCATGCCAAAAACGGGGGTCTTGATGCAATGATATCTCACGAATAGCTCAACAGATTGAGCTGAAATTTTTTATAGACATATATCCGAGTGAGTTCTATTAGCAAAAAATTTTTATTGAGAAATATTGAGCAATTAGGATTCTATGAATCACACAAAATACGAAAAAATCCTGATTTTTGGTAACTTTTGTGTTTCATAACTTGTGATTGGAATGACATAGATGTTGTGTGTGGGTGTGGGGTGTGGGTATGGGTGTAGGTGTGTTGGTACACATGATCTGGAAGCACCCACACCCACATCCACTCCACACCCACATCCCACCCACACGGGTCCACGAAAATTGGTCGAACGAAAAATAGTCGAACGAAAATTGGTGGAAGAAAATTAGCCGATACGAAAATTGATTGATACGAATATTAGTCACTACGAAAATTGATCAACGAGAAAAATAGTCGAAAAATTCGTAATTAAGAAAAAAGAATCTTTCAATAAGAGCGACAGCAGTGTAAAAAATAAATTAATATCAGTATATAATCTGTCGCTGGTACTTTTAATATAGTTGTTGCAGTACCGTGTGCAAGTAAAGTGGACTCCAAGCTCTTTTCAGAACAGTTGGTTTTCAGCGGAAGAAAAAATGAAAATAAAAAACGGGTGTGAATTTCGGTATGGATCTTCTTAAACCCCATTGCACACTACAATTTACAGAAGGTGTGGCACTCTCACCTGCAGACACACCAACGCTAACAGTTACACCACACAGTCAAAAAGCTTTTTTCGTAGTTCCACAGCTCTATCAGAATTAATTTCGATACAATTTCATGAAAGTACATGAATCTCGTAATTTTAGTTTTAAAAAGGAGTTCTATTTCATATGCTACATACACTAGAGAAAAACTTCGTTATAGTGATGAACATTTCACCAATGGCGTCTTTCATATTCTTCTTGTAATGCTTTGGCTGACTCGTCGCATTCGACGTTTTTATTTTATTTTTTTTATTACGACTTTTTAGACTATTTTTCTCGTCAATCAATTTTCGTAGCGACTGATTTTCGTATCGATCAATTTTCGTATCTACTAATTTTCGTATCGACCAATTTTCTTCCACCAATTTTCGTTCGACTATTTTTCATTCGACCAATTTTCGCTTTCCCATAATATATAAGTAAATGAACGCCTTAATATTGAAATATAAAACTTTGTATTTTAACAGCAGCGAAAATTTTTTTGTAATTGGCAATATCAGCCAAGAAAGACTATCGAAAATGACAGAATTTCCTTTTTGCATGTTACTTTTGATCTATCTGGTATAGATGGAAGATCAAAAGAAAAAAGAATGTATAATGATGTCATCGGAAAGTAGAGACAATAGTTTGCCAGCTATAAACAGCCTATATGTATACTATACAAAGAACAAAAAACATTCAATGGTCGTGGTATATATGTCACTACGTAATAGTGCCGATGTAATTGCACAATGTCAGTGAATTCCATCATAATGATAGTCTATACAGAATGTACTTTTGCAGTTTTTCTGCAAAAGTAAATTCTGTCATTTTCGATAGTCGTTCTTGACTGACACTGTCAATTACAAGAAAAATCTTCCCTGCTGTTAAAATAAAAGGTTTTATGTTTTAAGAAAATGCTTTTTTGCATATGTTTTTCCACATTTTGCATGGATGTTCCCCTTTTATCTATTTCTTCCTATAACACACACAGAATCACTCACCAGAAAGTTCAGAGCTGCTATTAGAATAGTTCATCGTTGTCCATTTGTATCGGCACATGATTTATTTACAGTGACAAAAGAGAATCCTTTGGAGAAGTATGTTCAAAAATACATAAATAATAGATTGCATAATATTTGTAAGTCGAACCTGGGACGATCAACCTTCCTTTAAGATATATTTTATTGGGAAGACTTTAAAAAGAATGAGAAGGACTCGCTATGACACTTTGTCCGACAAAAACGAGTAAAGTATCTAGCTGAAAGATATGAGACATTGCTAATTAAATGGATAAAATTCATGTATCCCTAAACAGCTACTTTAATCTTACATAACACTTCACACCAACCTTATGGAAAGATCAAAATTAAACGACATGTTAAGACTAGTACCATCAATGGAAATTAGAATCATTGCACCTATGCCTATTATTTCGTCCCTGGTTTTCTTTTCCTGTGTTTTTTTCGTTCCTCTTTTCTTTTTTTTCCTTTTTCAACGTCCTATGTAAGCACTCCAGAGTGTAAAATACATAATAAAAAGCTAAATAAAAAAAACAGGGCAAACATTTAACTGAATAAAACATTTTTATTTTATCAGTAACACTAGCTATAGTTTTATGATAAGAGAAGAGAATTGAGTTGCATTTTGGCTTTCATATAAAAAGAAATTACTAACAACAGGTAACCGCGATGGCTCTGCCATACAATATATTTAGTAAAAATGATAATCAATATTCAATTTATGATTTAAATGAAGAAAATCGATCGTTTTTATGGCATCGGTTTATGCTCGATCTACTTTCAAGCATTCCTCGTTCGTCCAATGAAATCGAAAATGTTATTGAAGCTTGTCAATTAGTCTATCAAGATGAACCAGATAAAATCAATGCACGAACTCAAGCAGATCTTGACGAGTTTCGAACGAATTATTCACCAAACGATGCTATCAACTGGTGAGGTCATTCGAAAATCGAGAGATATTTAAATATCATGATATGAGAATAAATATAAAAATAATTCTATGTCATATTCTGAATGAATTTTGTATACACGTTCTGGATTTTTTTTCAATGCTCTGAATATAGCTTGTCGTAAGCTTGATAGCGGTGCATTGATTGGATTTCATTCCGTTGTTAAAGATATTAACAATCAATTGAAGCAATTATTTATAAAACAGAAAAATGATGGTACATTAGAATTTCCATTAATCGTTTATCGTGGACAATGCTATTTTGGTGAGGGTGAATTAGAAAAACTAACTAAACGACTTAAAGTTGGAGATTTGATATCGATGAATTCATTTTTATCTACTTCAAAAGACCGTACAGTAGCCACCGTTTTTGGTGTTGCAGATAGAAATACATCTGTACTTTTTCAAATTAAAGTAAATGATGTTGAAAATAATGAAAGACTTCAAGTGTTTGCAGATATTACAAGTATTGGTCAATTTCCAGATGAGAAAGAGGTTCTTTTTGGTATGTCATCTGTGTTCCAAGTAACAAATGTTTATTTAGATGCTACTTCCTGGGTTATCGAGATGGAACTAACTAATTACAAAGAAGATGAAGAAGTAGAAAAATTTTTGCCTGAAATCAAAAGGCATCTTTATAGAATTTCTACTAAACGGAGACCATTCAACATATTAAAAAAATTACTCAATGTTGATACAAACGCTCATCCTAAACCTCTAATAGAATTAATGAAATTCATTCTTACTGATCTCGTACAAATTTTCATCGTTAATGCTTATAAGAAAAATGGACAATTAAAAAGCATCATTACTAAAGAATCTAATTTACGAGCTATAGTAACAGAATCCAACAGTGATCCTACTCGTCCTTCTGAAACATGCATAGGTTCACTATGTGATGTACTTGATGATTTTCTGTGTGACTACAATAACAACAGCGAACAAGATAATGAAATTTTCATTAATGATATCTCAATATCAATATTATGTTTTGGCGCATTTTTACTCTTAATTGAAGATTATGAAAAATGTATTCAATTTTTTTAAATAATCTTAAGAAATGAATCAGTGGACAAAAAATTAAAAATCATTATAAATTCAGTTTTAAATGCATGTTATGCGCTGAATAGTGGATACGAATTATCAATTAAACATTTTTATGAATTTGTTGAATCGTCAGCATTGACATTAATACAACCATGGAATTCTGCTTTTGTTGCATCTCCACTAATGGCAACACATGGCTCTAACCAATTGGCAAATCAAACACTTGAAAATAGTCAACCATCAATGTACCAACAACAACATGATATTGATATTCATGAACAATTGCGTCTATTATACTTAGCTCAACTTTGTCGAGAACAACAAAAACCTGTTGATGCTCTTAATTATTATGAAGAAGCATTAGAAATAAATTCATCTTTACCATCTTCAGCTTTGAGTATATTTAATGGACCCATTTATCTATCAATGGCATCAACATCTCTTAGCTTGGATAATAAACGTGAAGCTCTATTTTTTCTAGACAAAGCAATAGATAATGTGAACAAACATTTTCCATCATCTCATAGAATATTTGCTGCATTAAATTTGATGCGTGGTTATTATCTATTACAAAATGAAAGAACAGAAGAAGCGAATGAGCATGTTCAAAATGCGTTGAATAACATTCATTTTTCTAAGAATCAACAATTTCATTGTACTGCTTTTATTGTTTTGGCAACGTGTGCTTTGCAATGTGGAAATATTAATGGAGCAAAAAAGTATTGTGAAGAGGCTCGTAAATGTTCATTATCAACATTTACGAGTTCATTAGCTGATTATATACTACAAGCAATACCCAATTTTAAAATCGTATTGGAAAGTACTAATCTAGAAGTATTTCGTCAAATGGTTCGTATTGGTCTTCAGTATGGTCAACAAATTTTCTCGAGTATGAATTCGAATGCACTTACTGAATCAATAAATGAAGAAACAAGCACACCTGATAAACTCATTTCGTCGGCTGACTTTTATCGGCATAGACAAGAATATGCAAATGCTGATAAGTATTATAGGAAAGCCATTGAAAAGATGACGGATTCAAATGAAACTATATGGATTATCTTTAGAAAAATGATACGAATGAACTATGATAATGAACTTTATCAAGACTATTTCATTGAACAATATTCAAAATATGATATTGATAATTTGAACCATTTGAAAATTATCTCTACGTTACAATTAATTATTTATAAATTATGTTTGTCAAGAAATGAAACTGAAGCTGAATTTGCGTTTGATTTTTTGACAAGTAGCTGTTTCACAACAATTAAGTATTTATATCATTGTTTTAAAACCGATTCTGAATTTATTTCAAAATTCCTTAATGAATTTTTTCATTATAAACAATTTGCAAAATTCATTACCATGATAACAGAGTTGATTGAAGTGCACACTAATGAATCAATGGCGAATATAAAATATTTTCTATCAAATTTTAAACATTGCGATGAGTTTGCTTCAATTATTCATCATTCGCAAGTTGACAAGGCATTTAGTGAAATGAAATTAAAGTATGACAATGATGAATCATCAAAATGTATATTCCGATTTCTCGATACTATTTTACAAGTTTTACGTCAATGTGTAGCGCCGCTAAATAATCCAACACTCTCATTTCGAGAACAAATTTTACAATTGCTAGCTAAACATCGTGACGAATCCACACCTTTCTACTATTTAAAGAAAATATTGGAATCTTTCTTTGCCGATGATCTTTCAAGTTTTTTCTTCAATCTTGATAAATTTCGTCTTCATGCAATGACTTACGAGCATTATAAAAAACTTAAGGAAAGTCTAAATGAACTTTTTGAAAAAATCGAAGAGAATCAGCTGCATGCATGGCTTAAAGACGTTTTAACCATCTATTAAAATTTTAATTATAAAAATAAAAATACATAAATTATTGTAATTAATAGATTAAATTATACATTTTTCAATAGTTCAAATCAATTAGAATGTTATAGATATAAATTTAATCATTTTATAGAGTAGTAACAGTATCATCACTATCTTATGCTTATAAAATATATTTCAAAAGAAAGAATAAATTATATCAAAATAATAATTTTAAAATAAAATCATTCATAATGTCATTGAAAAAAATTTCATATTTTCCTTATTCTTGATTATTCTATGTTAAAAAATGACGATTATGACTAAAAATTTCATAAATTTGATAAACAATAAGTTTAATTAAAATAAAATTTTATAATATTTATTAAAAATTCTATAACAACTTATATTAGAATCAACCATCACGAATTATGCTAAATCAGAGATATTCAATTGACTAAACTATCGTTTACTTTTTTTTTTTTATTTTACGTTAGAGTTTTATCAAATAGTTTAACACTTGAATATTTTTTGACAATTGAACCGTTAATGAAATGTTCAATTATTTTCAAGATTTAGAAAATAAGAAAGATTTTCTCTATTTTTATTTTTATTTTTGAATTTTGATCTTCAGTTCATTGAATCTATGAATATATTCTTTGGTTTCATGCAATCAATGTAATATTACTTGTATAATGAATTTCTATTGAGAGATTGATTTTATAGTTAATGCATAGTTTATTTATAATAGACGAAATATTTTTCGTATGCTTAATCTAATATAAAAGAATATCTATAGATTTTAGTTTATTTCTTTTTTATATATTTGACTAACAGTTTTAAAGGCTCGATCATTTTGTATAGATATAAATTGCTCTAATAATCAACAGCATACTGAAACAAACAATGAATGAAAATCTACATAAACTACTATAATCAATCAACAACTTTATAAAAAGATAACACAATATTAAGTTTATGATTTATCAAATTTACTTTTTGTTATTGTTTTTCTCTTCTCTTATTTATTAATGTTAACTAAGACTTATGACTTTCTTGTTTTGTTTAGGATTGAAAAAAATAGTGTCAATCTCGTCATTCTAGTGAAAAAATTTTTTAAAAAGAAATAATATCGAAAATCAATGCACAATGACGATTCCTATAGATGCAACTATAGGAAAGAATCGTGCTGCTTGTTTGAGAGTTCTTCTCTCATCATAACTATATCATTTAGTGACATAAAAAATAAACAACATAGGAATATTGAGTGAAATAAAGTAGGTGATGATATCTTTTCTATTCCCACTCACTCACTCACGATGATAATGTAAATACAATTATTATGTTTTTTATTTTGAATAAAGATTTTCTTCTTAATTTATGCAGACTCTTTATATAATGATTTTTTAATATACTAATAAAATATACATAAATCGTTTTAGAATAATATTCGAATATATTTTTTCCTTCTCTTATTTTTGCTATGTTATATTAGAAGATCAAAAGAAAAGAGAAAAGAAAAACATTTTAAAAGATCGATCAATGAAGCAAAAAATATTGAATTCATATAGAAACATACACAGATAAATTAATAATTTGGTTTATATTTTATATTTTTCTTAATTCTTTTGTTAACAGTGGATAAATATTTTCAAGAAAATATTAAAATATTAATTATATAAGATTGTTTTAAAAAGTAAACAGAAGAAACAAAAAAAAATACATTCTTCTTCAATCTTTATCTTTTCGTTCAATGGAGAAAATCAATTGAAATAAATATTTACGAAATCAAAATTAAATGATCTATTCCTTTTTTTATGTACTCAAAAAATGAGTACACTCCAGAATCGGTCAGTGTGTCCGTCCGTCCGTCCGTTTACACGATAACTCTTCCCAATTATATTCGATTGAGCTGAAATGTTGTGCACAGAATTGTCTCATCAATATCTCGCTCGAGTTCGAAGATGAGAAGGATCCGTCAAGAAATGGCTCAGTTATCGAAAAAATTGTCATTATTGACCAGACCATCCTTGAGGGGGGGAGGGGTACAGAGATTTTTTCAAAAAAAATTATTTTCTCAGAATTCTTCACAACAT